TTAAGTTTACTCATTAATATCACAGAGTATAATCAAATTATTTAATGTGCTCGATAAACAACATCTATTATATACCATTATTATAAAACCTTTTGTTTAAACTGTTCTATTAGAGCGTTAGAAATTTTGAAGCGATATTATTATTAGTCACTGTCAGCAAATATTGTACCCAATTCACAGAAAAGTTTCTTATATTCAAATTATCACACAATATTTTTGTTAAAATTCCGAGCCTCAGCAAATGCGTTGACCAGATTAACCAGCGATTATCCTCCTTGAGAATATTGTATAATTTACAGATAATACATTGCTAAAACACTACATCGTCTCTTAGCATATTCTTTCTTGGCAAAACCCTCGCTATATTACTTAGTTTATAGTTCAATTCCATTTACCAATTTTTTAATATTTTTACAATTATGAGACCTCCAGAGTGTGGACTTCATCTACTAATCTAGATATGTTTGTATGAGATATCTACAGAACTGATATTATTGGGAGGTTGTATGATGACTCACTATGGAATGTGAGATTACTCAATAAGGTTGATTTATCAGAAAATACACAATGTCGAATCTACTTGGAGATAAATGATAACACTTTTTTTGACTATCCAGTTTTGAACTGGGTCAGTAATGAAAAAAAAGGCAGGGAACTCCAACTTCTTTCTTATATTATCAAGGAAATCCTTAATGGGAGATGTTTTGGCTCTTATTTGGAGAGCTGAAAGGTTTCTGTTGAATAAGTTCGGTTGGTAGCTCATAAGATCTTCTCTGTTCCATTATGGATTATGCTAGGATCATGCTTATACGTTTAAAAGGCTTGAAGTGATAGGAACGTTTATACTCGCAGTTAACTATTTTGATGCAAAATGATGTCAATTTCTATTCTATTTAATTTCTGAGTTTTGTGGTAATGTCGTAGAGTCTCAAATTTTTGATGTGGTTATCAAAAACGGTTTCCATCAATCAATCTTTACAATCAGACATATAGTCAGCTATTCATCTTTTACTGTTGTTGTGTATGATAGCATAGCGTTTCGTAAGTTTTGTTTTGGTCACTCTAAACGATTGTCGTAAATTATTATTATATAAAAAATTATGACCACTCTCTTAAACTGTGCTTTTTAATGAAGTAACTATCTGCTTTTTGACATAAAAAAGAAATATAAACAGATATATTTGTCATTAATTTTTGCATATATTTTGTAAAAATTTTATTTAAAAAGGACCTAAACTGATAAAACTATTGTAAAACTTGTACCAAACACTTTGTTATTGCATATTGAAATCTATACAATATATGAATACTAATACTAGATTTCAGCATTTATATTGTGACTAATGAAACTTATGAAAATTACCTTTCATTTTCTTATTGCCATTAAAAACTCAATTCTCATTTCGCATGTAAAATGACTAGCGAATTACATTAGAAAAATTTTACAACTAAGATAATTTGTTAATATTAATTGTATATACACTTAAAAATTATGTGAAGCTTAATTATAAAATTATGTGATTCGATATTATGATTCCAAAGATTCAAGATACAATTCCCCGTAAAAATCAAGATGCCTTCAAGAAGACATTTAAACTTAATTTAAAAAATTATATAAAAAATTTATGAATTAAAATGGTACGAAAAAATGTTTTGGCTTTGTTGCTGAATTCGATTTGATAGAGTTTAGAGTAAATATTTTGTAATGGTTAAGATTACAATTATAATTTGTTCTGCTAATTATTCAGAGTACCTAAATAATAATAATTAAAATAAATATTTTGGTTTTAATTATGTACAATAAAGCAATTAAACTCAATGCCACAAATTTTCTATGCTAAGTGACTAAAACTACAAAACAGACATACATACGTACTATGCACTGCATAGGTACACTTAATTGTACAAATCGACAGACATTCTCTCCTAAATAACTAAACATACATACTTAAATCACAATTTGTTTTTCTTCTAGTTACTAAAAGTTAGACTAAAAATTATTTATAAAAATATGCCTGCCGTCTTAACCCTAGAGAGTAGAAAACTATATAAACTTGAGCGCTTAAAGCGAATTATTTATGTAAAAAATACTATGAATCGCTGTTGTTGTTGTTGCTTATAATTGGCAACACATCTTCTCTATCATCGCCACCCAAGGTGCTCGGCATCGTCCTGAGCAGCGTATAACTCTCGCGGTGCATAAACTTGTGCTGATGATGCGCAATGAAACTGCTGCCGCGCCTTAGCGAACGCCGACCCATTTCGAGAATTTCCAGCGTTGGATCACAGGCGAAGACGAAGGTTTGGTAGACACGAACAAAGGTAAAAATTATGGCAAAGGCACCACTAACGATCATCAGGTATGAAATGATGGGCACAATATTTGGTGCGAAAACTGTAGCCAAATAAATCCAACGGCGAATAGCTGGAGTAAGTTCAGATATTCCCTAAAACAAAGTAAATTGACATTTTAATTTTTTACTAAAAAAAGAAAGATAATAAAAAATAAATGTGAAAGTTAATAAGGAAGACATTTATACTCTTGTAAACGTCAGCTGAGATGAGATGATATTTGGTATAAACTTTCAGTTGAAAAGTCGCTATGATCCCCATATATGAGTATGAATCTTATTTAGTACAGAAGGAGACAGGTTTAAGTAATGCTTAAGCAATTATTCACATGATCATATAGCATGGCAGCAGCGTCTTTAAATGAAGATATGATATTTAGGAGACATCTTCGGTTGAAGAGTCGCTATGACCCCCATATATAAGTTTGGATCTTATTTAGTACAGAAAAAGAATATTTTAAATAACATAATGCTTAAGCAATAATTCACATGATTCACATTATTCACTTTTGACATGTTAGCGGCCTTTGGGTGAAAAGTCGCTATAATTCTAATATGTATCTAATCTTATTTAGTACAGAAAGAGAAGTGTAAAAGTAATGTTTAAGGAATTATTTAAATGATCATATAACATGTGGAGGAAAAAACATATTATCGATAGTTGAGACTGAAATATTTAGCACTATACAGTGGTTATAATCGTTTCGAATTAAAGAATTTGGTTAAATAAAATACTATTCTAGAATTATTGTCATTGGGATACTTTTAATGACCTAAAACGATCTCTAAAATCCTTTGTATTTATCATTAATAAAATAATTAACATCACCGAGTTAAGAAATAAATAGTAGAAACTTATAGCTCACCTCTTCCATCCACATTATTGGAAACACAAAATCACGAAAATCTTTAACGGGAAATACATTTGGCGCTCTGGTAACCCTTAAATTCAATTGTATACGTACTTTACCTTCCAATGGTACACCGATTTTCTAAAAATGAAATTACGTTAAATATATACTCATAAACCATTCATTAGAGAGCTAAATTTTACCGGTTGTATTTTAAAGAAAGTTTCATGTAAAGATTTATTGGGTTTTAAACCTTCAACTGCATCCAACAATGATGTATCCGCTGCATAAAAATGTGGATTTGATATATAAACCGGAGCACCAAATTGACATGGGCTTATATTTTGTAAGCCCTTAACTGGTGCATAATCCTTAGTATCGAAACATTCATTATCAGGATTATTTTGTGAGTCACCATAAGAGTCTTCTGCTAAGTTAAATAGATCAGCATCAATACCTTTAATGATAAAAAAGTGATTATTTATTTGAATATGTTGAAGTTCCTCCACCAATCTCGACCTACCGTCTTTTTCTACAGCTTCTTGATATTTTAATGGTATAACTCTACATAAATCTTTATCGTATAAATAAACCATATCAGCTTTTGTGCGTTCTCTGGGCGGGAAAAAAGAACCTTCTGAAGCAGAAATACTCGTACAAGGTTTTTGGTTCCAATATGGCAAATGATCAATTCCATTTAGACGATCAATATATCCAAACTCATTCATATCAGCATGTCCAGTTTTTATTGATGAGACTTCAGTTAGTGTACCATTGCGCTATTTTATTAAATTTATAATTAATATTTTAACATCTTGTATTTTACTAGTCTCAGCTTATTATAGTGCTTACCCCAATAAGTAGTCCCATTTGACTCATTGGACGCAAGTGTTTCGGATAAAATCTATGCGCTAAACTCACTAGAGTGTCATCATATCCGAATGCCAATTGATCGGCTGTAACATTGACGAATGGCTTTAGTTCAGCAAGCGTTAATACTGCAGATATCGCTTTCGATAATAAATAGCCCAGTTTTGGACTCAAACTAGTAAGCGTCTGGAGTGAGCAAAAGCATTTAAATTATTAAAACTAATGGAAAAATCTTAAGAATTTTATTTGTATTTCAGTGAATCTCTCTTTAAATCTATCATTAATTCAGTAAATAAACAATGAAGTAAGAGTTACTTATTAATTTCCAGAGCAAAAGAGTTTCGTTTTAATTCATCTCAATTTTGCTGTTTATACTTTATTGTTCAACCATTAACCATTTGAAAAACTGTAATTATCGAATTTTATTGACTATTCATTTTAATGAGATTTTTTTTGAAACATAGTGAAGAGTAGTAATAAATGATGTTATGGTTTTAAGGAGGAGTTATGGTGGAAACCTTTCCACTTCACTAGTTTTTAAGACCGTTAATAATATACACTCCTTGAAGTCAATCATTGATAGCTTAAATTTAAACATTAAATAAAATTTCATGTTAAGTTTAGTTTGTTTCAGTGATGGAAGAAGTTCCTTTTCTATTCAAGTAGCTCATAGGCGCCTTTTTGGTGCCATAGGCTTCATTAAGACAATCTCAGTTTTAAAAATCAAAACTAATGGTTAATTCGTACTTGCAGTTAACTGATAGAGAATATATTAGAAAATGTGTTGCTTTGAAAGAAAAGGGGAATGAAGGAAAATAAGATGGAAAGAAGAGGAATGATGCTGCTACAGAAAATCATGAATTTGACTGACAGCTGACTAGTTACTGATATTGTTGTCGTAAGAATTACAGTAGAAGAGATTACTATTATTAAATTAGGGTTTAAATTATTATAAAGTAATTATAATAATAAATATTTAATTACTATTTAATTTGAAAGACGACTTGGACATTAATTATACTTGCGGATTCAGAGTATAACTTTAGATTCCATTTCTTGTCAAAATGAATATAGTCAAAGAGACTATTATAACAAATCTGGGTATGTTACAAAATGTCTTGGAAACTTATTGTCTCCACTTCACGGACTCAGAATAAATCTTTTACATATGATTTCTTCTATTAAACCAACACTTTACTGTTTTTTTTTTCTTCACTCGATAAGTATTCCTTGCAAAATTAGCTTTTTCTTGAGTAATAAAAATAAACATTTTTGGGTTTGTTTTATTTATATGTTTATATACCTATATATATATA